TGTCTGTTGTGGGGAGAGGAAGGGAAAGGAGATTGTAAGCCACTCTGAGACTCCTTCAGGTAGTGAAGGGAGGGGTATAAATTCAATCTCCTTCTTCTTCTTGAGTCCAGGGGCACCCTTAAGACCAACCAAGATGAATTCTGGATCTAAGCTTTTGTGTGCATGCACACTTTTTTATATCGAGCCTTACATATAGGTGGGGGGGAATTAGTTGCCAGGAAGGGCTCGTTAGAATCAGGATTCATAAGTAACTGGGCAATAAGTATAGCTCAGATTGGACTAAAGCATTTGTTAAGACCTGTGAATAGTAGCAGATTAGTATACAAATGAAAGAATTAACCAACAGATGTGACAAGATTTGCGCCCAGTGGCACCTTTAAGACTACCAAATTTGGATTCTGGGTCTAAGCTTCCGTGTGCTGGATTAAGCTTGGTTGGTCTTAAAGGTGCCCCTGGATTCAAACTTTGTCCTGCTGCTTCAGACCAAAACGGGGACCCACCTTGATTCACCTTGAATCACAGTTTCAATACTTGTATGGTTCAGAGGCGCCACCTGGTGGTGACTGGAAGTAAAATGTGAAAATATTAGTTTTTTAAAAAAAGTCACCTGGGCTTGTGGTGCTGAGATTGTAGGGAGCTGGGAGCAGTGGCGGACCTACATTTTTGGGACCCAGAAGCTTGAACTGTGATGGGGGTCCCTTCTCAACCAGCAACAATAGGGCAACATCCAAAGAGGGTATGAAACGGGTTTTAGAGCACGTTCTAAGGTCAATATTAAGTACTTCATCCCATTGGCTGATAATTCTGTCACTCAGATAGCCTTATTTTAATAACAAACATTTTAAAAAAACTCTGTCAATTTTGTTGAAAAATTCACCCATTAAAAAAAAAAGTTGCTTTAATGAGTTGATAACGAAGATTATGGAATGTGCTGGGATGGACAGATTGACAAATATACCTAAAGGAAAAATGGAAGAAGAATTTATGGGACCATGGAGGGTGTTCTATGACTGGTTAAAGCATAAATACTGAGAAACAAAGACTAAATGAAGAACAATAAGATGGTTATAATAGTTGTGAAACTTCTATGAGAAGATTTGCATGCAGAATGTCAAATTGGTTTATATATGTGTGTGTGTGTGTGTGTGTATTATTTATTTTCCCTTCTTTCCCCTTTCCTTCTTTCTATATATAAACTAATAAAACTTTATATTAAAAAAAGTGGCTTCACGGCCTCTCCAGGATCCAAGGCCCTGAAGCTTCAGCTTAGATCATAGAATCACAGAGTTGGAAGGGGCCACAGAGTCCAACCCCCTGCTCAATGCAGGATCACCCTAGAGCATGATTCTATAAAACTCATTGTATTCAGTCTAACAGATATACATACATATACATGCATATACACATAGAGAGAGAGAGAGCAACTTGGCCTGCGGCTTAATTTTTAAACAGAATTCTAAATGAGACCCTTTTCATTCGTTTCCTAGTAGATCTGCCCCCGGCTTTCTGGGCTTGTGGGGCTCCACCCCAAGTGGTCAGATGGGCGGTTTGGCCTGGGAACTGGGCCCCGTGTAACTGAGATGGTACCGGGTCTCTTCTGCATCAAGATTCCCTACTATTTTTTATTTATTTTATTGCATTTATACCCCGCCCTCCCTGCGAACGGGCTCAGCATTGTGACTGGGAGGGCAACACCTTTTCCCTGAAATTCTTATTCTCTCCCCCCCCCAATGTGGCCATCGATTCCTCTTATTCTTCCTTCTAAAAGAGGGGTTTCTTTGTGAAGAAATCAGGGCACCCTTTTCCAACTTCAGCACCTGCGACTGTTTTATGTCACATGCCACAGAGTGGTGCTCTAGTAGGGGAAGGTGTCGTGGGCCTCTGAGCATCTACAGAGTGGGATTCTGCAGCACTTCCCTTCCTGCCCCTCCCCTCTTTGGATTGGATCGTTGATGAGGAATGGAACGGAGCAGAAATTCCTAAAAAAGAGGGAAAGAAATGGATTGTGGCATTGGAGGGGGAAACTGGGTAAAGAGAAAATAAGAGAACTCCTCTTTAACAATGCTATTCTCTACTTGGTAAGAACATAAGAGAAGCCAATGTTGGTTCAGGCCAATGGCTCATCCAGTCCAACACTCTGTCACGCAGTGGCCAAAAATGCCAGGAGCCATCAGGAGGGCCAGCAGTGGGGCCAGGACACTAGAAGCCCTCCCACTGTTGCCCCCCCCCCAAGCACCAAGAAACAGAGCATCACTTGCCCCAGACGGAGAGTCCCTATCTATACCTTGTGGCTAAGAGCCACTGATGGACCTCTGCTCCAGATGTTTATCCAATTCCCTCTTGAAGCCATCCATGCTTGTAGCCGCTGCCACCCCCTCCTGTGGCAGTGAATTCCATGTGTTAATCACTCTTTGGGCGAAGGACTTCCTTTTATCCGTTCTGACCCGACTGCTCAGCAACTTCATGGAGTGCCCACGAGTTCTTGTATTGTGAGAAAGGGAGAAAAGCACTTCTTTCTCGGCCTGCTCTATCCCATGCATAATCTTGTAAACCTCGATCACGTCACCCCTCAGCCGTCGTTTCTCCAAGCTAAAGAGCCCCAAGTGCTTTAACCTTTCTCCATAGGTGTTATTGACAGGCATATAAGTAGCAGAATTACTTTAATGTACGGTGAGGGATTCATTTCCACTGATTGCATGGGAGTTTCTTTCTGCGATCCCAAGCACACTTATCGCTGCAAGCACAAGGATTTTACACCAAGCTGCAGCTTCTCCTCACCAAGAGCAGCACAAGATGCTTCAGATCCAGAGTCCCTGTCGCTTGGCACCGCAGTCCCAAAATTATCACCAGGGAAACTCACAATCACAGTCCTGTCTGCTGTTTACCCGACAGAAACTAGTCGTGAGGGATAGACAGCCTCTGAACATGGAGGTGCCATCGAGCTATCCTAACAGCCATTTTTCCTTCATTTCTGCAATCCTTTTAAAAAACCACTGCAACCAGCAATGACTATGATATCTTGTGGCAGTGAGTTCCAGATGAACATGGAGGTGCCATCGAGCTATCCTTTTAAAAAACCATTGCAACCAGCAATGACTACGACATCTTGTGGCAGTGAGTTCCACAAACTTCTTACATAGAAGTTGTTTCTTTGGTCTGTTGTAAACAGGGGTCATTTCCTGCAGGAGTGCACAGGAGCGGAGCTCCGGCAGTAAAGAGCCCAGGGGGCGGGCACATGCAACAAGCCCCACCCCCTGCTCCCAGCAGCCCTCAGTCAGAGCAAGAAGCAGCCAGGTATGTTGCAGAGCCCCTCCGGCCCCCCAGTCCAAAACAGTCCAGTGGCACCTTTAAGACGAAGTTTTATTCAGGCACAAGCTCTCCCTCCTCTGTGAGGACAGATCTGCACATTCTCCCCCTCCCCCCCATAGCTAGCAATCCAAAACAGTCCAGTGGAGCCTGAGCGGTGGGTGTTGCCTTCTGACACACTTCCGGTGATGTCAGGGGGTGTGGCATATGCAAATAAGTCATGGTAATGTGTTATGCTAATGAGCTCCTGCACCTCTTTCTCTACGAAATGACCCCTGGTTGTAAACCTCCAGTTAATCTGTTTCACGTGGCAGTTCCAGGTTTCTAACAGCAGTTGTTTAAGGTTTGGTGTTTGGTATGAAAAGGGGATCATAGGCTACAAAATAAGTTTATTTTTTAAGAACCATAAAAAAAACGAAGCAACCTTTTACATTCAACCAACCAGTAAACATACAAGAAGGTACACCAAGGCACCCAGTGCTACAAATACAGTAGTGAATACTTTCAGGAAAATCACCTTTGGTCTGTTATTTTGCATTTCAAGTATAGTGGGAGAACGAAACATATTAAAAAGCCCACCCGAAGCATGCATCTGTGTGTGAAACATATCGGGCCTTTTTGCAAAAAATACTGATGAACAATTGAATTCAAAACATTATTTTTCCAACCTTTTCAAATGGAAACCGGTTACCCCCAAAGCCGTTCACCCACTCCGGAAGTCAATTCCCATTATTTCAGTGGGGCTTACTTGCAAGACAGTTATCTTGATCCGAAGATCTGCACGTACAGGGATCTTCCCCCACACGTGGGAAGCGCATGCTTCCATTCATTTCAATGGAGCAAAATGCAATGCACAGACAAAGGAATCCTCCATCCATAAATGGAGAAAGTTGTGTGTGGGGGGGAAGGTGCTCCAAGGGGGTGCTTCACAATAGAAAGATGAGTGTTTCCATCTTACAGAGCAAACAACACTGTTAAACCGGTGAGCCACAGCAGTCCCCTGAGACCGAAGACCCAGTAAGCTCAGTTAGGTGGTTTCACAGTTGACATTCAGTAGTGATGGCCTAACGTAGATAAAAGACGTGTGTGCCTGTGTTGCAAACTTTCAGCAAAAGAGCTAAACTGCCAAAAAAGAACTGTCAACAGTGGAAATGCCCCTTTAAAGAGATCCCAGGATCTTTAAGAAAATGTTAATCAGCTTAAATATTTCATGGCCACACAGATAAAGGTGTAGGCTGTTGGGGAGACACAGAGGATGTGACCCACAACTCTTT